AAAAAAAAACTTGCTTCCTAGATAAATGTTGTTCTTATATAACTTACGTGCAAACAATCTTAAATGCTGTGAAAATATTTTAGGCTCTAAACAACTTTCTAGACTGATTTCCGTTTGTGATTGAAACCGTAAAGCAGAGACATTCCAAGCTGTTTCCTGTAAGCTGCAGGCACACGCAGCCTCGCAGCTGCCGTCGCTCTCCCGCGCACGAGTCTCAGTGTTCCACCGCTTTTTTTTTTTTGGTATATAGTCAATTTGAATTAATAAAAGTACAATATAAAAAAATAAACTACATTTTCTGTTATTTTTTGGAACTCATACATTTGATTCTGTTATGGATCTTTTTTTCAATAATCGCTCTCCCACTCCCCACTCCTCACCCCCACCCACAGATGGCTCAGATGGCGGTGAGGTCGTCAGCCTTACATGCAACTGTGACGTACAAACTCCAAGCAGTCCCGTCCACAGATAAAAATTATTTTTTCTTAAATTCGCTTAGTTAGGGGTGGAGTCCAACTGGGTCTACTCGGCACGGCGGCCACTGATTGGCCTATTGTAGCCTGCCCCGGGTGATTATGATGATGGAGAATTTGGTGGAATGAAGATTGGCAGGAGAAACCGAAGTACTCGGACAGAACCCGCCCCAGCGCCACTTTGTCCATCACCAATCCCACTTGACCAGACCCGGGATCGAACCCGGGCCGCCGAGGTGGGAAGCCAGCGACTAACCGCTTGAGCTATGGCGCGGCCTTCCATCCACAAATATCTGCCTGTTGCTGGAACCTGTTTGTACGAGAACTAAGATACTCAACACGTCAAAAGATCTCAGCTTGTTGACGTAATAAAAATGTTTATAAAAAGCTGTAACCGTTATCTGCTGAAAGAACATTAAAATTACCTTAGATGTAGGAGAGGAAACTTTCCACCGAAAAAAGAGAAACAATTTTGAATTTTTAAAATAATGGCCAGGCGCCATACCTTCTAGTTTCCAAATTTATAGCCATATAACTTGAATTTACAGGTTCTGTACTTTACTGATGCCAAGTTCACATTTATAAGTTACCAAATTTGTGTAACCAAAAATGTGTTGGTTTTATATACAGCTGATCGCCGTGCAAAATTGAGAGGACATGTCGATTTCACAAAGCACTCTCTCGTGAACAGGACAACGAAATTTCAGGGTCCATAAAAGGCTCAGAACGTTCTGAACAATTGAGCAATTATTAGCTTTTCAGAAACGTTTCTGGTCATTGGAGTTGGTTAGATATATTCCTGAAGACTGTGAGCGCCATCTTGATGTAATTTTTAAATATGGCTACCACTCCAAAAGGAAACTAATTAAATACGGATCGAAAAAATGCAACCTACTACTTACTGCTGCTACTGCTCCTACTACGGCCCAGATGGCAGGTTATTGTGAACACGATAATAAATTCTTGTGTATTATAAAATGTAAAGTTGTACCTGTGCCGTGATGACCTGTAGGGAGAGTGGAGGTATAGCTCCACCAGTTTTGGCTTCGCCGCTATATGGAGATAAGTGGTCAGCTTCATGCCCTGGCTGCTTTATAACCTGGAATAAAGCCGCTAGTACGTATTGGATAGGAGGATGTGTGGGCACTACACCTGCTCTGGACGCTATGAGGCATATACAAATCTCTTGCCCCTAACGGGAATCAAACCCCAGCCCTTCAGCCCGTCACTATACCGACAGTCCGGCGTTACGTCTCAGAAACAGTAGCCGAACTGCACCTCAGTCATCCTCGTTTTCCCTTAAAGCTCTGAGAAGCATGTTCGTATTGTTCACAACAAACACTAATGTGTCTGAAACGTGTAGCCCACCTGTTGCTGCTGCATAATAGGTGTGGCCACACACGAAGATTCTGCTAACAGTTTTGTTCCGCTCTGATTCTGGTGTGCGGAGATGTCTGCATGTGGAAGGTGAGACGCCGCACCAGACAGGATCCCTACACATTTGTTCCAGAGACCACAGCCTATAACTCTCCTAGAAGGAGTTGGAACTGTGGTGTCTTCAAGAAGTGAGGTTATGTATTCTTTTTATAAAAGCTCCCATGATTCTCTTTTTCTTCTTACAAACCCACGTCAGATGGCAGTGTATTGAATAATGTCATAATATTAATGTACACCGTCCGGTGGGGAGGCGAGTTAAAATAACTGGGCCTCCCTGTCTCTGGAGGACATGAATACAGGGACCTGGTCCTCCAGGTTGGGGGTTGGACGCAACGCTGACGACCTTGCTCTCTAAAAAAAAAATACTCTCACGAAATCCAAAGAAGCGAAAGCTGGATCAAGCTGGCAGAATCTTCTAAGGGAGTCTGTGGCTCAAAAGGGGCTGTTTTGGCAGTGATGTTGATCATGGCGCAACAAACAGCACGTCCTCTCTTACGCGAACATATCATTTCTCTATTGACAAGAAAACTGTAGGTCAAGTTCTTTGTCCGGGCAAAAGAGTTTGGTTCAGATCAAGCCTGCACATATCGTCACTGTTTACAGCCACTGATCTAAGGTTACGACCGTACCATATTGACCCCGCTGTTAAGCTTGTAGCTCCTTAACGGCCGACTACGTTTTCAGCAGATAAAACCATGTGTGCCGGGCCCACCAGTGAGCTTCATGGAATCTATGTTATAATGTTGCACGTAATCTACTTGACTGGAGTTGGGTTAGCAATTTTCCAATGTATCGTCATGACTGTCAGAGAGAATCGTTTGCATAAACCAATGTTACTCTTCTTCCCACTGTCAGGTGCAATGTTGTCCACGAAACTCCCTCTTCGGTCTTTCTGTATCTGCAGGATTAGCTCCGTCCGTACAGCGACTGGACAGCGGGCTGACGGTCGAGAAATCGTGGTTCGATTCTCAGCATGGCTAAGAGATACAGCTATTCTCCACAGGGTCCAGACCGCCTCTGGGCCCACGCTTCCTCCAGTACAAGAGTTATCGTGAGCTGTTCCCCCGTGGTAAAAGCGTGGAGGGCGTGAAACTGACCACTCATCTCAATCAAGTGCCGAATTTTTAATTTGTGGAGCTATACCTCCACTCTCTCATATGTCTGCAAGCGGTAGCATAGTTGGTTGAGGCATTACGCTACAAGCTGGAAGGTCGCGGGTTCGATTTCGTTATGAGGCCATTGGATTTTTCAAATGACCTAATCCTTCCAGCCGCAATATGGCCCTGGGGTCGACTCAGCCTCTAGCATAAATGAGTACCAGGAATCTTCCTGGGGGGGGGGGGGTAAAGGGCGGCTGGCGCGTAAGGCTGACAACTTCACCGCCATCTGTGAGCCGATTGTCTAGAAAATATGGGAGCCTCGATGTCTCACAGGCCTATGGGCCACTATGGCCTGTTACTGGGATGGCTTTAACCCCTTATGTTTTCATGGCGTGCTACTTCATTCAGTAATGAAACGTAAGGATAACAGTCCCTTCACATACAGCCGCAGGATTTATTTTCATTGATAAGCCAATCTGTCGGTATTTTATTGGGCAATAGAATTCTGTTTCCAAAAAGTCAGAGAAAGAGGAAATGTAAGTTATCTCTGACGTTCTAACGTCGGTGGCTGCAAAGAGTAAGACAAACATAAAAAAGGACAAGAAAAATACCAGAACACCAACTCACAATTAAATATACTTAAATAACAAGAAGTTTTGGGAAGAACTAATCTCTTACTTTCCTTTGATACGACACGGACCGCATAGAAAACGACGCGCCCAACAATTCTATTGTTGCATATGTATTTGTTGTAGTGGTAACGTTTTTATCGAGCCGTTGCCTAGCAACTGTAGAGGGCTATACGACATATATATGTCGTATATACAGACACAGACTGATGGGAGGGGTTTGTGAAATGCGCTTTTGAGATGGGCTGATGTATCATTACATACATACCTAGTTTCATAAAAACTGGTTTAGCCATTCAAAAATTGATCGGGGGGGATACACAGACACAGAGACAGTATGGAGATCGCATAAGCATACTTCTATTTTTTTTTTCAAATTAAGGAAAGTTAGCTAAAATGAAAGAACAAGGGAAATGCACGTATCAAAACACCAACTCATAATTCAAGATACTCAAACAAGAATAAATTATGTTACATTATACTCGTGAAACCAAGACTATGGACAGTTCTCTTACAAGACAAACTAAACTAAGCTCAGTTAGCTTCTCGCCTGCTTCTGCTCGTTAATCGCATGGCTTATTCTTCTATCTTGAAGATGGAGGCGATGTTCCTCCGAAACGTCGGAATGTTTCCGAACTACCTGGAATTACAACCGAAAATGTACTACTCTTCATGAAATGGTAAGTGAAATCTTGTAAGTGTTCGTGTGTGCATTATCTGCTGCTTGAGGTAAGCAAGTTAATTTAATTTGTTAAATGCAATACGTCAGATACTATATTAATTTTATAAAACTGAATTTTCCTGACGTAATCCCTCTCTTTTAAGTGTTTTTATTTAACCTCTGCCCTTATAATTATCAAGTAAACATAAGTTATTCTATCTTGCGTAACTCTGAATGCATCAGTTCCATTTATATCTAAGATCAGTAAGTTTCAAAATTTTTATCTGATTTTATTAATTTTGTGTAGCTAAAAGTCGCTGAGATAAGAAGAGCTTGTCAGAGAATATTAAGTATATATTTAGGATGAAGGAAATATTATTTTTTATGACATGTACTTGGTCTATCGAGATGTACAGAGCGATTCTAAATTATTGTTGTGTTTTCCTTGGCCTATAGTTTTTAAACCGGAAGCAACAAAATAAAACTGCTTACGGAATGTGAAAGTGTAACTCAAACAGTTTTATTGCTTCGAAAATCAATACTGCAGAATGCTAAACAACTTCAACACACACACAGTTTTATTTTGTTATTTCCGGTTTGAAAATCATGGAAAGATCATGGAAACCGCGACAATAATTTAGAATCACATTGTATTTATTATTCCGAAGTGTCTAATTCTGCGACTTATTTCTGTTTGCAGATTTCGGACGTGTTTGAAAATGGCAGGCACGGGTCCAGCCAATCTGATAGGGAAGCTTTTCTTCAACATTGTTCAGACAAAATGTTTTGTGCTAAAACCACAGAGATCATGTGTGAAGAGATCATGGTGGGGAAAGTGCTTGAAGCAGAAGTACAGAAAACAAGCCCATCTCAGAGACAACATTCCCTACTGAGGCGCGGCACTTGTACGGCATGCATTTCTCCTCATCAAATTTCACTGACGAAAGTGAAGTTCAGTCCGTAGTGACGCCGGCCATTCAGCGCCGACAAGCTACCAGAAGAAGTCATCGTCATCAAGTCATTGTTATCATGATGAAAACTATCGTAATTTAAATGTACCACGCCTGAAGTCTGAAACTTCTTAAGAGAGTTAATGCTCATTGTGGTACCTTCAGTGTAGGATACACCTCTCAAAAGAGGATATAGAAACTGTACAAGTCTGTATGTTTCTACATATTCTGTGTAGACTCTTATGTGTCTCTACAAGCAAATGATATTATTAATTTAAGATTCCGAAAGTAACTGTCAAGATTTCATAGTTTTAGCTTTAAAAAATAACCGGTTATAACAGGAAAATTAATTTCACGAAATTAAAGTTATTATCTACTTAATCATCAGCTCCGAGGACGTTAACAACTCGTTTGCATCTAATGTCAAATTAATTTTCTGAAGTAAGATTTGAGTAATGTTATATTTTAGCGTCCTGTTGCACTGATTTAAGTCCATGATTTATTTAATCCGTCTTGCAGTGCATACACTCATTTATTTCCTTCTCTCCCTCGCACTACATGTTTCGGCATAATAATGCCATCTTCATGTGCTTACTTATCCACNCAGTCGCAGGAGCACGACACAACAAAAGCACAACACACAAGATAGTGAAGGAGTGCTCCAACAAAGGAGAATGGGCGTGACTGACGTAGTGAGGGGCGACGTAGCGATGTGGTATCCTGAACAATTTTAATATTTTTAACGTTTGACAATGTATATGATAGATACATATTTTAGTTATTTTAATGTGTGAACATGGCATGCAATGAACTGGTTTGACGTGGATAAGTAAGCACCTGAAGATGGCATTATTATGCCGAAACATGTAGTGCGAGGGAGAGAAGGAAATAAATGAGTGTATGCACTGTAAGATTTGAGGTTTTCACGGCGGTGAGTATGAAGAAAGCAGTCTTCTGAGATGTGGCGCAGTGTAGATATTGTGTTAACCGACGTTTCGAAGGAACGTATCGCCTCCATCTTCAGGGTAGAAGAAAAAGAAAAAATCCGCGAGTGAGCAATAGCATGAGCAGGTGCTAACAGACATTAGTTAGTCTATTAGCACCTACTCACACTGGTTCCTCGCTCGCGGATTTTCTTCTTTTTTGTTCTACCCTGAAGATGGAGGCGATACGTTCCTCCGAAACGTCGGTTAACACAATATCTAAACGGCGCTACACCCCAGAAGACTGCTTTCTTCTTAATGTTCTGAATTCTATAATACGGAAATGCGTGTCCACAGCATAGACCAACTACATTATTTTTTATGAGGTTGGTTATACTGACAAATGAATGTTCAGAACCACCGATAACTTCAGTTCTGTGTAACCTTTAAATTTACGATAGTTCCTAAAATGTTACTACAGACACAGACAAGAATCTGGGAGAGTTTGCTGTGTTTTCGAATCTGTTATTTCAAGACCATTTTGCCTCCCTCATTAAATCGCTTTACGGTAATAATGCCGCATTACTTTCCCTTCTTGTTCTGTGGCTGACATGAAACAGCATCCCTCCTGAAGATTTCGTTAACAGTGCAGTACAGTAACCCTTGCTGTAACGGACTAATAAGGGAGACACGGCGTCCGTTATCGCCAGTGTCCGCCATAACCTAGTGGAGGGCCATTCACGGTAGTACAATGTACGATACAGAGCCAATACAAGCAATAAACATACAAACAGTATGATTACATAAAGATTTTCATATTATTTTCTTTTTATTTCTTAGTTCCTCAACGTCTCTAAAAAATCACGATTTTACACAACCATATTTTGTTCGTTATATCCAAAAACCATTACGTTTGGGTCCGTTATAACGATGATTCACTGTATTTTCCGTTAGTATGCTGTGAAAATTCATGTTGGAAACATATCGCCATTTTATCAAACACCAAAATACCCACATCAAAAGACTGCGTTTTTTTAAACACATACACGTAAAACCACCTATTCATTCAAGACTGCACATTTGATAAATCGAATTTAATATACGGAAGAAAAGTATGCACAAGAATGTTCATTACTTTGTGCTGTCTTGGGTTACATACCCTCACGAAGACAACTGCCAAATGTTCTTAAATGTTTGTATGACAGGTTATTTCGTACAGCCGCAGTAGGCCCTGGGGATTACTCAGCCTCTAACAGAAATGAGTACCAGGAATTAATTGAATAATTTTCCTGGGGAGTAAAGCGCGGCCGCCGCCTAAGGCTGACAACCTTACTGCCATCTATGAGCCGATGGTCTAGATAATGTGGGACCCTCAACGTCTCACAACCCTATGGGCCCTCACGGCCTGGTACAGGGATAGCTTTACATAGCCACATTAATAAGGCGACAACAGCAATAAGATTAGCAAGAATAAGAATTTTTATTGTTATAGTATTACTTATTCAGTACATAAGGCAAAATAAGGAAGTTACTGTCCGTGGACCAGAACCGCTTTTGAGAATTTCTAGACCACAGTTTCTCAACAATATTCAGTCTCAGCGTGAGACATCACATACCCCTTTCAATGGAGACTTAATTTTTATCAAAAATTAATATAATATAATGCTCATTTCTATAAGGGCAAGATACAGAAACTTTCTCGCCATGTACAGGAAATGTAGGAGCCGGGACAGTGCAGTTGGTACAGCCATTAGCTGCGGACTGAATGGCCGAGGTGTAAATGCTCCTTTTCTTTCATAGCCGTCTAGATTGGTTCTTGGGCCCACCCAGCCTCCTATTGAATTGGTACCGGGGGCTTTTCTCTGGGGGTAAAGCGGCCGGGCCATGAAGCTGACCACTTACTTCCAACCAGTGGCGAGGTTGAGAGTACGTGGATTTATACATCCACTCCCCAGTACGTCTTCATGGCGTAATGCTTAATTAATTAAGGAGAGGTACAACTTTACCTTTTTCACAGAAAATGTTGTAAAGACGTTTCATAAGTCCCTTTTGATCTTCGTTTGACAGCGTTAAAAATACGTCACATACCACCTGATGAGTCTTCACGCACCCCTTGCGGATATCTACACCCCCCCCCC